TCAACCCCCACCGGCGGCGAGGTCGAGAGGGCCCTTACTGCTGTCAGATTTCACCTATAGGTGCTTCAGAGTTTGTTCTCCTTCCCCTGTGCCTAATACTGCACGCAGTTATCATATATCTGTATCCCTGCGGAGTTCTTTCACAGGCTTGACGACAGCTCTTCAAAACCTCACTTTGCTCCTTCAAACTCAAGATCGGTCCGAGTTCCCTTCTTGCAGATGTGTGTGTCAGGAAGCGGTCCCAGACAAAAGCTGTCCCTTTGAAGACTGAAATTTAATTTATGGCTTCTTTTTGTGACTTTTTTTTTGGTTAGTAGTCTGTCTGTCCTTTGTTCGTATTTTCTACTTCTCTTTTTCTCTTCTTGACTAAAGGCATATATTCCAATGAGAGGAAATAGAAGGGTATCAGAGGTGTTTTCTATGAACTTTAAACCTTAGTAAGTTTTTTTTTTGAAGTCCTAATTCTGATTTTATTGAATTTACAGTGTTTACTTCTCTCCCTAGTGTCCAAAAATCAACATGTCGAGCAAAAAGGCAAAGACGAAGACCACCAAGAAGCGCCCTCAGCGCGCCACTTCCAATGTATTTGCAATGTTCGATCAGTCGCAGATTCAGGAATTCAAGGAGGCCTTCAACATGATCGACCAGAACAGGGATGGCTTCATTGACAAAGAGGACTTGCACGACATGCTTGCCTCCCTTGGTAATGTCACTTTTCTGTTTCTGCTTGCCAAACAAAAAGGCGCTGTTATAGTTAGAACAATTGAGTTTGGGACAGCTTATGAGAGGTGTCTCAGTTTGTATGATGCTGTTCAGCTGACTTTTTGTTTTAGTTTGAAGGCTAAACCAGATATGTATCCCTTGATTTGTAGGAAAGAATCCAACGGATGAATACCTAGATGCCATGATGAATGAGGCTCCAGGCCCCATAAACTTCACAATGTTCCTCACAATGTTTGGTGAGAAGTTAAATGGCACTGATCCGGAAGATGTAATCAGGAATGCTTTTGCTTGCTTTGACGAAGAAGCAACAGGTATGTGGGTTAAACTGAACTGCTTGCAGGAGGCATTTCTTATGTTGTTTATTTAGTTTTCTACATAGTTTGCTGATCTTTGCACCTTTATAAATGAAGTATGACACAGTAGTCCTTCTAGATGGCATATTTTACCAAGTAATGAGAATTTGCCTTATTACTGAGTGAGAGTTAAAACTGTCTGGCTGATCTGTCTGAGTACTGAGGACTAGTAGTAATGTTCTTTAGTGAGGCTTTGAAGAAGAGTGTTTTAACTAGGCAGCATGCATAGTCCTCAGAGTGCAAAATAAGATGCATTTGCTCTAAGATGATGGGGAATTCAGATTGGTAATATGTGATTTTCTGTAGCATTGAAAAGGTAACGGATGTGAAATCTGGAATACAACTGAGTTTGTCTGCCCCCTGCAGTACATCTGAGATGCATCTGAATACTTTGATATATGTAATATTTCAAGACAGGCTGTCCAGACTACGTAAACTCTGTTGAACACTCATCCTGCCTAGTGGCTCTGATGACAAATGCCATGTGTCATGCCCTCACCCACAGCTCAGTTAGTTTTCAGGTTGCAGGAAGGGCTGTAACCTTAAAGATCTAAAGATAAAAACAAGGTGAGGTCTAGAAGACAGAAATGACAGATTGGACTGACGTGTGTAGGAAGGTGTGGGGAAAGAGGAAAATGCAGAGCTCGGTTTTACTCTATCAGACTTTCAAGGTTGCACCTGTAATCTTGAGGTTAGAGTTTATGCTTTTATTTATTTATGCATGTAGGCTAAGATTCCAGAGAGGTGGGTAGCAACCAGGGATGAATCCTTAGGGCAATTCTGCAGAATTACAGAACATCAGTGCTTTGACATGTTGTGAACACGTCTTACTAGTGCATGCCGAAATTATGTAGCCTCTGTGCTACAGATGTCACCGCACCTACAGCTTCCCTCACAACTGTCCACCACAATATTTCAATGTGATACATGCTCTGAACCTTTCAAAGGATATGATTCCATTTCAAACGGCTATTTTCAGTCTGTGTATTTTTAGCACCTTCTGCCTTTTCAAAGAGCATCCCCTTCCTGCTGAGGTGTAGGTAAACAGGCTTTCTGTTGGTAAGGCCTTTTCAAATGTTAATTGACTTCCTCCCTCTCAAGAGAAATCTCTTTACCATCTCCTAGAGAAGGAAGTTTTGTTAGCAGGTTAATTATTTTCTCTCCACAGGTAGCCTGACTCACTGTGCTACAGGGTTTTTTTGTGTGCACCAAAACAAGAGCCTGCGAATTAGGATATAAAGAAAATGATTGTGCTACCAGTTCTTTTGAACAGTAACCTATGTAAACAATAAGTCTATGTAAACAATAAGTTACTAGTTCAGACCCCCATGTACTGATAAGATTGATTTTATTATCTTTCAACTCTGTGTGGTAAATGTTTTAGTCTAGTCGCAGGATGATTTGAGGATAATGGTTCCACAGTCTCTTTTGTGTCTTACACGCCATCCTCAAATTTTAACCAGGAAACGTGTTAGACAGTTATGCTGTTTATTGATTTTTGATTCATAATAGCCAAAATGCAGTCTTCAGAATAACATGTAATATATTCGTAGAACCCATGTTATGTTTGCTTACCTTTATTCTCAAATGTGGCTTCTGATCAGTGTTCCTTTTGAAAATGAACCAAAGCATTTCCAGCTATGTCAAACATTTTCTTTTTTTTTTTTTTTTACTTCATAATCTCCACGTGTGTGTGTTATGGGCCTAATTTTCTAACTCGGCATCAGTGTAGTTCTTTTGAAAGTGAATAATACAAACCAAATCCTCTTGATGAGAATAAGGTGTTTGTACTTGTTGGTTTTTACTTACATTCCTATGTTGCCAGTCTAGTTGGGTGTATTGCTTCAGCATATGTAGTACTATGAAATTAGTATAAAAGTTGTATCTGTCCGCATTTGGTGTATCTTTTGTCTGCTCTTTGATCCTGCATTGTCATCTGTTTTGTGCTGCCTGCCACAGGCTGAGTCTTAAATTTTGCTTTGTTAATTTGTTGTTCCCTGTCTACATTGAAGCTGTGTGTGAGGGGGAGTGGGAGCGCTGTTTGCTTTACAATTCTCTGCTGCTAAAACTTTCAGTGTATTCCTAGTCTGGCAGCCTAGCTGGGTGTTTAAACACCTAGCTCTTCAGACAGGAGGAAGCAATTAAGTCCTTGAGGCTGAAGTTGCAGCACCAAAGGCCTTGCATTCTTTGAATACTAATCCTTATGTCGTCTCTCGTCACTACTTGGTCTCTGTAGGACTGCAGAAATAGAGAGCCTGATCTGTTTAGCTGTTTTTTCCCCTCCTTTAGACACATCTGCAAAGAGACAACTCCAAAATTGGACCCCATTAAGATGGGCCTAGCTAACTGAACATTCTCCCCATTTTTAAAGGAGAACATTGCTGTTAGCCTTCTTCATTTGGACTCAGTAGTCGAGGGCTTGTCTATGCTGGGATATGATGCTGTTTTAATGAGCATATGTTGTTAACACAGATTTTTTTTTTTCCCTTCCCTGCAGCATAGACCAACCCTGTGACAATTTGTCATGCTTATTGACTGCCTTTTGGTCCTCTGATTGCCTGTTCGGTTTTGTCTCTCTCATGAACTCTGTTTGCTTAAGTTATTCAACTGTCTTTCCAAAGTAGGACTTGTTTTTTAATCGCGTTCTAGTTGAATCTACATCAGTTGATGTGGGTGTCTACATAGGATTTCCAGCTGTTCTGCACAGTTTACTTTTTTTTTTTTTTTGGAACATACTTCTATCTTCTCTGCTCTGTTATTGATATCTCTCCAACAAAAGTTCAATAACCAATTTCTTTCTCAAATGAAGCAACTCTTGTGCATTTAAAGGCATGGTAAGTCTTATTTCAACATTAAGCAGTTTCTGCGTTCTTCCGTCTACCATTTGTTATGCACATTCCTTTTTTAATCTCTAAACTTTCCTGCAGTTACTTGGCAACTGATGCTTCTGCCCGTCTATTGAAATTGAATTAACAGAACATACTTAGCAATGGCTCATTTTTATATCTTTGTTAATTTCCTCCAAAATCTTCTGCTAATATTTTAGCTTAAATAAGTTAACTTAATACAGACTACTTGACTAGCTTCTCTGCCTCTACCTCTCTACAGTAAATATTGTTCCTCCCTCCTGACTTAACTTGCTCAATCCTGTCTGAAAGTCTTTTCTGTTAAAAACTAGCCAGCAGTTCACTGCATCCACGTAAACCGCCTCCAGCAACAGGATTGTGCAGCAGTGAAGAACCAACCAGTGGTTATTTAGTCCCCAGAGGAAACTAATTTATAGAGGACGCACAATTAAGTCAAGAAAAATAGAATTCAATTAAGAGAACAGCTTGTGTAATGAGGACTAGCAGTGACAGGAACTTGTTTTTCCACTTTGAGATGTTTCAGATCAGTAGCTGGAAATATATATTATTAGACCACAGCAGATCAGGCCCTCTTTTCAAATATCTGCATGAAACGCATTAAATTTCTTCCCCTTCCCCTTTGCATTCAAGGAATTTCTTTAGAATTCAGTTAAGGAAGTATTTTGGGCTCTTAGTGCAAATGCATATATTACATGCTGTGTTAGTTAGTTGCATGTCCATCCGTATGTCTGTCTTATGTGCATCTTACCACTTTTGAAGACTCTGCTAAGAAACAGCTTCTCTTTTGTGTTTCTCTCTGTACATCTCGTTCTAGGGTTCATCCAAGAAGACTACCTGCGGGAGCTGCTGACGACGATGGGAGACAGGTTCACAGATGAAGAGGTAGATGAGCTGTACAGAGAGGCACCCATCGACAAAAAGGGGAATTTCAACTACATTGAGTTCACGCGCATCCTGAAACATGGCGCTAAAGACAAGGATGACTGAGCAAAGCTCCAGATACCTGCGGATAGCTTCTCCCCTGCCCACCATTAATTTTATTTCTCAGGATCTATTTTTTCCTTTTTTTCCTGTTGGAACCTTTTGCATACATTTTTAGCATTCCAGCTTTTTCCTCTGTGGACTCTGGGGCTGCTCAGGCACAGTTACTGCAGTGTAATAAGACTGGAAATGGGCAGGGAGAGAGGACAGCGTACAGTGATAGAGGTTTAGGGACAGAGGTCGGTGTGTGCGGAGGCCCAGGTGAAAGTGTCAGTGCTACTCTTCTTAGCTAGATTAATTTTACATTTTTAATGGTAACTTTTGAAGTAAAACACTGCTATATTAAGTACATCATGAAAATTTTCATGCTAGAAGTGGACTGTTTATCTAATCGTATCTGTAAATATTTTCGCAACTGTATGCAGTCATGTTGTTACCTATTTTTGCCTTAAAAATGAAGCATAAGTCACTTAAGCACACTGTTTTTTGTATTTCAGCGACTGAAGATTTCACTTACTACTGTGAGCATGTACAATGAAGAAATTCCCATCTTTCGCATTTTAGTACATTGTAAATTAATGATTTTTGTCCAAGACTTGCACATTAAAAATTTTAAATCTTGCAGGTGTAATTGAGGGGGTATTTTACAATGTTAGTGCCTCCATTTCTTGACACCGAATACGATATTTATACTGCTTTTTAAAGACTTACATGGTAAATCCTAGTGTTTTCTTAAAAAAGGCACTGTGTGTGAGTAGAATGTTTGAGTGATGCGTCTTACCAGATCTGCAGGTCTGACACTACAGAATTTGTTACATTTCATTGCAACCATTTATTTTTTAATTTCTTTCCTCTTTCTGTCTTTTTTCAAAGCACAGTGAGAATGGGTCTGGATGAAGAGGGAAGGTGTGCTATCTCTGCCCTTTTTGTTTTCTGTCTGGAAATGTTATTCTTACTTTCGAAATGAAACAATATACAGTATATTTTTAAGAGATTCTGCTGAGTGGTGCTTTGAGTGTGTGAGAAGGAGGCATTCCTTTTTGTTCCATTTCTCATAATTATATCTTCTGGATCTGTGGTATGGAATGCATAGCAGATTTGCTACAGTACTCTGGAGCCACTTTGCCGTGATCTGAATATTTGTGGTTTTGGTTTTTTGGTCTTGAGAGAAAGAGTGACCAGAGTTGCTTCTGTCACTTTCAGGAATTACATTGTTATCCCTCAAGAATTTACCTTACAAAATTAAGAAACATCATTTGGCTGAAAGCATTTTGCTATTTCTTGGTAGGCTGCTATTGCAAACTGGACTTTTAATAAATTCCGTTAGAGGACAGTGACTCTTTTGTTTTAGAACTACACTGTTCTTTCATGAATAACCTACGAGGACTGTTGTCTTTTGAGGACGATGCTGTAAAAATCATTCATTGGTACCTGTAAGAAAAAGCTCTGAAGCTTCTGCTCTACCGGAGTCCCAGTGAGCTTTCCAAAAGAATGGGGGCTGTCCAGGCACATGAAGGACCACAGGATGCTAACAGGAGGCCTTTAAGAAAAGTAGGAAAGACGCTGAAAAAGAGAGGAGGGAAAGGGTTCATAACGCTTCGTGAGAAGACAAGTGAAAAAATCCAAATGCTTCAAAAATAAGTTTTCTCTTAGTTGCTGCTTTTTTTCTGAAAATATTTACATTTAGAGGGGGCAGAGGTAACAAACAAAAAGAACTTATGTAAACTATCGGTGAAACCAACTTCGCCGGGTCTGAAGGAGGAGGAGCGGGCCAGGTCCTCACCAGCCGCGGCCAGCCGCCCTCCTTGCCCCGCAAAAAAGCGGTTCCCCCGCAGAGGGAGCGGAGCAGCGGGGAGCGCCGGGCCGGTGTTCGGAACCGTCAGTAGGTGGCACGGCAGCTCCTAGCACTGACTCAGCTGAAGGGCAAATCGCTCGCAACACGCTTTTTCATTGTTTTGGTTTGTGGTTTTTTTTAGTCCCGAATTGCTCGTTTGTGGCAGGCTCC